TGGTAACACTAAAATTTAAAATAATACTAAAAAAAAAAAAAAAATTCTATTATACTCAGAACTACATGTCTTGGCAGCCAGGGAACAAACAACATGTCATTTCCAAAAGCTTTGCAGTGATTCCTTATACCAGATTCCAGGAATGCTTTGACACAACGAAGTTTATTCCATTCCTTGGAAATATTAAATGCATTCCTACTATAATGAAACACCTTATAAACGCCACGTGACAGAAACATGGAGTTTGACAAAGCATTTCCTTCCGGCATCATAACATTTAGGGCCCTGACATGAATTTTACTATCAAATAAGTAACCAAGGGAGGTTTGCTGGGAGCAGACCCGGATGGAAGCAGCCTCAGCCTCAAGTGCTTCCGCCCACAGACTCCCACCTAACGCTCGTCAGGCAGCTCCGAGCACTCCGAGTTTCCAAGATGTCATCTGGAACATCAAATACAGTTCTAAGCACGACCCTGTACAACAGCAGCAATTCCTGTTGCTCACTAGCAAGTCATCCCTGTTTTGGACAACATTTTTGGAATGTGCTGCCCACAGTACATTGAATTTCCTAAGTTATGCCCAGAAATCAGGATGTTTTGTCCCAGTAAGTGGACACTGTTTAATAAGACCCCTTCTGCAACAATGGGTTTGCACTTGCTGTGACAGAGCTCCATTTAACCAGGGCTGTGGAATTCTGGGGGATATCTGCACTGCCTCAGCTCTGCTGGCCTCTGGAAGAAGCCATTCCTCAACAAACATAGCTTTGTAACTTTGGAGAGGCCTGGGTTTGGGCTTATTTTAATGGCACAGCTTTTATCCAGTAAGGACCTGACCTTCACCATGTCAATGAGAAGCCCGTATTTGCTGCAAATGCTCTGATGTTCCACATCCCCTGTTCTGCTCTGAGAAACCTTATTTAAAGCCTCTAGTAAAAAAAAAAAGGTATTTTGGGGCTAGACTAACTTTTGTTGGATCCAGTGATGTCACCTCTTTCCAGATAAAGCCCAGGTTTGAAGCTCACCATGCTCATGATCACATGGCAGGTCAGGCACAACACCCAGTCACATCCAGGATCCTGATCCCTGCTGTGGGATGGGGAGAGGAAACAAGAGTCCCAACTCCCTTTGTGCCACCTCAGAGCTTCGCCCCAGTATTTTAAATGCCTCACCATTACAAAGTCCAAAAAGCATGAATATGGTGACACCACAGTGATGTCACTGGAATGCTCCAGAAGAAGGTGAGCAAAAAGGGGAAATGAATCCAACCTGGAAATACTGGAATTGCACAAGCTTGCACCAAGGCAAGGAGAACTCTGGGCCAAGCCAGGCTACAGAGGCACATCATGTGCTCTACTCAGAGCAGAAATAAATATGCCATTCTAAACGTTTTCTGAGTTTATTTTCAGAAAAATCTAGAGCAAAGATGGAAATAGCAATCTGATTAAAATAAAAAAAAAAAGTTAAGAGTGGCAGCAAATTATTTGGACAAAAGTTCAGAGAGGAAGAATATGGGCAAGACGTTCAACTGTGGGAAAATGCCTTTGGGGAGGAGGAAGCCTTTTGTTCCACACCACCTCTGTGTCTAGGTTTTTACAGTCCTTTGCTAAGTTATTCTGCCAGCGGCTGGAAAACCACCAGAAATCAGCCTGTTTACTCAGACAACTAAAATCCCAAATACCCTGGCAAATGGCTCTCTGCTCTGCCTCATCAGCGACAGGATGGAAGGGATACTCTGAGCTGAGGTTTAAAAGTCTCAGTCAAGTGACAGCACAAGGTTAAGGGGTTATTCATACCCCTATTTTTGCATTTGGAGAGCGAGGGGAATTCTTGTTGTGCGACACATGGAGTCAAATCAGATTAGGAGCATAAGTGCCAAATACTGTGCAAAAATCACCATTAAACACCTGAAATCTTGCTTATGTTCAGACAAGAAAGAGCAAGTGTAAAATATTCCGAATATTTGAGACATTCTGAGACTTGCCTGGTTCACTGCAAGTTCAGTGGTCTTAGGAGGCCAAGTGACAGAGCAGTTTGGTGGTGAGCCCACTCCACGCCACAGTGAGAGTCACAGGGTCTGTGACCAGGGAGTTTGCCACAAGTTGGCTCCTACTTCTGCAAAGCCCCCATCAGATCAAATCCCTGTCCTGAAAAATTCATGTTTTTCCTTATACAGCTTGTATTTGGAAATGACTAAATGGAGGGGGAAATAAATTTAATTCAGTCCCTTCAACTATAGCACTGCCAGCTAACAAACTGCCCAAATGGAGTGTTTTAATACAGAGTTACACCTGCCATGGCTCAGACACCCCCCCTCCAGATACTTCATGACTGCCTGTTCCCTTTTCCCCTTGCTGCAGCTGCAAAACAAAATCCCATTTATACCTTACACCTGGATCACAGAAAAATCACTGATTATAGAGCACAGGACCTCCAGCTGAAGTTTTCAGGCTCTGCATTACATCCTCCCTTGAACAAATAAGTTCAAAGCACTCAAAAACGTAACCACAACCATCACCCTTTGCTACCAAGAACCCAACACAGACACACAGGGATCGAAGCCATCCGGTACTTGACTGGAACAAGTGAATCACAGCTCTGCAACCGAGGATCCGCAGCAGGATCCCGAGCCAATGTGACTCCAGAAAAGGTTTACTGAACCAGAAAAGCAGCAGCAGCAATCCTGGTTGGGCGCCAAACACAAGGAAATAAACACAAGGGAGCCCTGGAAGATTTCACCAGCAGCCACACAAGTGGGGATGAGCAAATCCTGAAGCACCACCTGAACTCTGGTCACTCAGCTCCAAAACAGCCCAGAAATCCCATGGCAGGAAGTTGGCATTTAACAGCCATGCACAGCAACTGAGTGTTTTCCTACTCTCTTCTGATGCATTCCAGGGCTTAAGTTGATTTTGGGTCCCGAGTTTCCCCACGACATTCTGAACAGACTGGCTCAGCCAAACCAGGAGGAACCACTGCAAACGCAGCACCAGGAGCAGAGCAGCAGCCAGGAGGCTCTGTGGGGGCAGATCTGCAGGGTCAGGCCTCCCACGGCCACTCCGGGGACAGGAGCGAGGGATCATTACCCAAATCAACTTCTCTCCACTAGTTTTGCAATGCAGAGGTCAAGCACTCACATCAAACAGTTTAAGGGCAGTGTAAAAGGGGGGAAACAACTCCCTCAGATCAGAAATCAGGACCTTGTCTAAGAAATTAGTTCGCAAAGAGCAGGCAGGTGAGTCCCCCAGCTGGGTCTGGAAAATGCACAAGCAGGAACGCTCACAACTCCTCACTGGCAGCAACTTTTCCACCACTTTTCTTATGCAGAGATAATAAGGAGTATGGCAGAATCTGTCCAATACAATCAGTATGGGCCACAGTCTTAGTCATTAAACACAGACCCACCATTTTAATGGCTCTTTCAAAGAGTAAAAACCTGAAGTTCCCAACTGTTTTCATGTCTGCTTGCCAACTGCTCCCCTCCCTATACTAGGATCAATAACTGGGAGCAAAGGAACAACCCTGCTTAACTATGAGATCTTCTTTAACTGCAGGGTAATCAGCTAATCCGGGCAGACTCCTTTATTCAGCTTTACACGGGCAGCACTATCATTAAAGTTATAAAGTTAATTTGACTCAAGGAATGCCATTTACTAATTTAGCACGCAAATGCTTTTACAGTTGTTTGCATCCAGCTCCACATAAACTACAGGGGATTTACAGCACACGAAGCAACATTTTAAAGCTGCTGTTACAGCCACTGTAACACTGTAACAGAGCACAGGACAGTGGGGGGAAAGCATTCACTGAGGGAATGCTTTTTCGTGTTTAAAGGGATTTACCAGTACACACAACCAGCAAAACAACTGTTTTCTGGGCACTAGATCCCTCAATATTTAATATCCACAGATTTTTCACATTATTCCTGTTGGCATGTAAGAGAGTAGCATCTCCTATTTACTCTGAATAGTGAGTAAATGGGAACAAAAGAAAACCCATCACCTGCAAAAAAGTCAACGGCATCAGGAACTTGATGGTGAGCTGGAGCCAAACCTTGCCATGAGCATTTAGCAAGGAATGCCAGATTGCTTCAGTGCCTTGAATTTTTTCCCCAAAAGCTCGGGAGCCAACAGATAAGACTTAGATACTTTGATCTAAAGAAGGTAAATGTTATTTCGAACTCTAGTTCACTTTTAAAGAGACATTCTTAAAAACTGGAGATAAAAAAAGTTATGGTTGCGAAGGGATTGCTCATATCCCTCCTGGTCTGTGCTGGAAATAAACACAAGGTTCAACTCCTGTGTGTAGGAAGGGGGAAGGGAAACGGCAACAAAACCAGAGCGAACGCCTCTCCTGGAATTCCAGGACTTGCCATCCACTCCGCTGCTTACCGAAGGAGCTGGAGGGGCTAAAGCCCCCCGACAGCATGAGGATGGAGTGGGACAAAGGCAAAAACACAGATCACAGCCCCCCGCTCGCATTCACACAAAGAAAGAGGAGTCCTTTTAGTGCCAAGGGCCTCGTTCCCGACGCTTCCATGGCAGGAAGCGAGATCCTGGCCGGCCCCAGGGGCCTCTCGGGGGAACGGGGTAACGAGGAGCCTCCTCCGCCCCAGGAGGTGCCGGGGAATCCCCCCTCATCCAGGGGAGGATTGGGGAACACCGCCTCCACCCCGGGGGGCACCGAGGAGCGCCCCCTCCACCCCCAGAGGGTGCCCAGGAGACCCCCCTCTCACCTCCGGGGGTGCCCAGGAAGCACCTTCACCCCAGGGAGTGACGAGAGGCCCTCTCATCACCCCGGGGGTGCAGAGGAGGAGGCTCCCCTCCAACTCCAGGGGGGACCGAGGAGCCCCCCTCTCACCCGGGGGTCCCTCGCAGTGTGTGTGGGTCCGTGTCCCGCGGGCGGGCCGGGCCCGGTGCCCTCTCAGAGGCCGTTGGCCCGTCCCGCCGCCCCCCCACCCCTTCGGCGGTGTGTCCCCCCCCAGTCCCGCTGCCGGGGGCCGCACCTGGATGACCTCGTTGACCTCGCGGATGCACTCCACCATGTGCTGCAGGATCTGCTCGGCCGTCAGCACCTCGTAGCGATAATCCTCCTCCTGCTCGGGGCCGCCGCCGGGGCCCGGCCCGCCGCCCAGGCCGCCACCGCCGCCGCC